GATAGCAAAAAATTTATAGATCTACTTCGGCCCTATTATAGCTTTAGAAAACTTCCAAGCAATTATATTTTTAAACTCCCTTGCCTACCTTTCAACCCAATACAATCAAAACTAAACATACTTATACTTACCCAATTACTAACAAATCTCTAGCAAAAAGATTTCTAGCTGAAATCTACAGTTTTAATCTTTCTTTACTAAAGAAATACATACTCATCAACCCTACCAACAAACCAAAACTACCCACAGACCCACGTCTAATTACTCAAATGAACCTTATAACCCCAATCACCTCACCTAAGCAACTAGTAGATATTGCTAGAGAACTAAGAAACTACTACTATTTTATCAAAATTCCCTCAAGATAGATAAATATTTCACATAAAACAAGCCCAAAAGAACATAGAAACAAACCAATACTGCCCCAAAACCTTGAAGAACTAAATCAACAACTCCAACAAATTAACCCAACTCTTGCTTTAGTCTTCTCCTATCAGAACCACCTTACCATAACTAATAATATAAATAAACTCAAAGAACACTACAATTTTAATCTATTGCCAGACTATCTACTCAATCTACTAGACCTACCAGAACCTGAATGGCCTATCTTTGACAACTATACTCTTTACAAAATCTCCACCAAGATTACTACTCTACACTACCCTATCCAGATCACAATCACAAAAAATAACCTTATACCAGATCAATCAATGGACTTAATATGAACATTACACCCCCAATTACTAATGACTCTCTGTTAACAGAATTACTAACAACTGACTCACCAAATCCTAGTATCACTCTACCCTACAACTCGAATACAAATCCCAAAACTTCAATACCAATCTCCTTTCTCAATATCTTTAACCACAACATACAAAGTATTAACCAGGATCTCAAACTTCAGTTATAGCTTGAGGAATGTCATCAACACAATATACATATTGTATTCATAACCGAAACCAAACTGCCAGCATCAACCACATGCACTACACACTTAACTAACCCACTATACAAACTTTATACTTCTAATTGTGACTCGATAAATGCAAATATCAGAGAATCATCAAAAGGCATAGCGATAATACTTAAACCCAAACTACAACTCTATATTCATAAAATAACTTTATACCTGGTTTTGCACTCCTAATTGACCTATTCTTACCTGGTAATAATAAAACTTGATTAATCGCAACCTACCTATTATCAGCAATATCAACCCAAACTTGTACTATACTCAAACAATTACTTCTTGGATAAGCAATAGCCACTCTTACAATATGAATATTATAATAGCCAGTGATTTTAACAACAACACCAACAGACCCAACTTCCATAAACAAACACTCCTCCTTTAACACCTTACTGATATAGGCTTCATCAGCCTCTTTCAACTCTACAATATAACTGAATCTACTTGGAAAAGAAACGAATCCTTTAGCCAAATTGGACAACACCAGAGATCACACTAACTTTTTCTACCCCTGACTTAATCAACCCCTCTAACTCAACAAATAGTGATCATCAAATAGTCAAAACAACTTGAAACACAACCTCAATACACAAGACCCCACACTACAAAAAACAATACCAAAAAATTTACAACTATGCTCAAATATCACAAGAAGATTGGGATCAGTACTTAGCATTTATCTTGACTTACCTTAAGGCATCATCATCACCCAACCTGCTCATAACTAACTACAACATACTCAACAAAACTTTTAACAATTTAAACAACATAATTAAACAAGTTGCAGATAAATTCATAAAAGAAAAATTTACAATTAGATAATCAAGATACACGAATAATTTTTTTAAGGAGTAATTTTTAAAATTTGGTAATCATTCTGTTGTAGACTACTGGTTAGGATATTACTTTGATAGCAGAGTAACCTGGGTTTAAAACCAGTGAGGGAGCTATTCTTTCTAGAGTACTAATCTGATATAGAATACGTATGGCCACTCAATAGGAATGAAATATCAGAATGAAAATTTTTTTTGTAATTATTATTATTATTATTATTATTATTATTTATATATATAGTATATTTTAGATATTAAAATTAAATATTTATGTCTAGCATGCATAAACTAGGTCTGGATGAATGTCATAGACAAAGAAAGATTGTCAAATTGGCGCAGTAATCTCATGACTAAACTGGATATAATATTAGAATTCTGGATTAACAATTATATGAAACTTATCTGCCAAAGAATAGAAAGAATAACTTACATGAAATCTGAAGAAGAATTCTGAAAAGAAGAAACTAAGATCAAGAAAGAAGATCTGGAAAATAGGCTAAAGAAAGAATTTGTTGGGAAAAATTATTATTATAATTATTGTAAGCCCCTTGATGTATAATAGCTTCACCATTATTCTTTAATTCATATATAATGTAAATTATCCCTAAACCTCTTGAACTCATTAGAATAGAAGAAGCTATAAAAGTACTAAAAGTTCACATTAGTAAAAGGATATCCTTCGGGATTCCAATAATTTATTTCTACCATCTTTAATAAATTACCCTAATAATTCCTTTTTAATAAATTACATTATTGTCAAATCACCAATGTTACACATTTGGCGAGTTGCCTTATATCATATAAATAATATCTTTTTGTATATAAATTAATAAAACCCTACAATTCACCCCATAACAATATTAACAAATTTATGTTTTTTTATTATAACTTGAATTCTATCACTTTAAATAAAATGAATTTAATATTATTTGATTCATCTTAGTAAGAGAAATCATATGATACCAAAATTACTCAATTCTAATCAGTGTATTACAAGATATTGTCAAAAAACATGAGTGCATCACAATACCCACCCATGTTATAATACCCCCCTCCCTTATATTAAACCTAGGTGCCGCACAAAAAATGCGCGGATGATCCTTGATTCTGATTGGCTAAGAGCAACGATCAAAAAATTAGGCCATAATTTTACTAATGAAATCGCAGCCGCCTATTAAGTGAAAATTGTTCCTGGGCCAATTTTACCAAAATGCGTGCTTATTTTTTAAAAATTTCTATTTTTATAATGAAAAAATTAAAAAGTCAAATCCGGCCGGAATTTAGTAAACAATTTTGTAATGCGGGCCAAAATTTCGAAGATCACCGGCCGTTAGCCAATCAAAATCGAGGATCATCCGCGCATTTTTTGTGCGGCATCTAAGTTTAATCTCCCATATCGATATAATAATAATCACTAATCAAGATTATTATTATTTTTTTTTTTATAGCAGGTGAACTGCAGATTAACGATAATTTAATAGTAAAAACAGAAATATCAAGCTGCAAAAACTCTTGAACAGGCACTTATAATTATATTTGTCAGGTTCGCTATAATGTTTCTTTAATGAGACAACGTTCTTTTTTTTTTATTTCATTTTTATTACTAGAGCGTAGCGGGGGAATAATGTAATACCAAAATTCTCGTTTTTGATTTATTATTAATAAAATATCAAAACGTAGCTATTGCATATTATGTTACAACATGCACAAAAATTCAAAGTTACATTTTTGATGCTTTTGTTAATAATTAATCAAAACAGGAGTTTTTGGTATTACATTATTCCCCCGCTACTTTCTAGACAATAAAAAAAGAACGTTGTCACATTAAATAGCACATAATAGCGAACCTGACAAATATAATTATAATTGCGTGGGTTTGCTGGTTCAAGAGTTATTGCGGCTTGAGCTTTCTATGTTTTTACTATTAAATTATCATTGATCTGCAGTTCACTATCGCTATAAAAAAAAAAATCTTGTTTAGTGAACATCATTATATGACCTGCACTATATTTGTAATTAGACTGATGTCGTACACCCCAATAAAAGCTGTTAGTGATTTTATAATACGAACCTTCTCATCCCAACACTAATCATAAAGAACTTTATAATACGAACTTTCTCATCCTAACATAAAATCTTATAATACGAACTCGTCCTAACACTAACCATAAAGAGCTGTTAGAATGATCTTATAATACGAACTTTCTCATCCTAACACTAACCATAAAGAGCTATTAGAATTATTTTATAATGCGAACTTTCACATCCTAACACTAACCATAAAGAGCTATTAAAATGATTTTATATAATAAACTTTTCATCCTAACACTAACCGTAAAGAGCTGTTAGAATGATTATTTTGCTTTATTTAATTATTATTGTTCTCATGTTACACCGTCTTTTTACATATCGTGTATTATGCAGGGAAATTTGGGAAACGCAGATTAAATTTAACCCGTCATTTTAATGACGGGTCTAACATCTAGCCAAAATATAAAAGAAGAGAAGGATGCAGTTCTTGTAACAATTGAAAATGATAACAAAAAAATGATTTACCTAAAGAATCTCTTGAAAGAGCAAAAAGTGTAAAAGTATTTTCAAATATACCAATCTACACTGACTTTCTTGCTATATTTCTGTATTTATTTTTTCTATTATTTCGGCTTATTAATAATTATTTCAGCGAATATAGTTGATGGTTGGTTTCAATAGTTATTATTATTACTTGCCTTTTTGAAGTGTCATCTTACTATTTATTTTTCTTGATTAAGATGATCGATATACAAAAAATAGCAAGGTTCATTACATCAAGTCCCTTGTCTAAAAAATTTACGTAGAACGCTTTATCTAGAATTGAGTGAAATAGTGATGGCGCAAAAATTTTGCGGTCCCGTGACTAATTAAACAAAATGATATCTTAGTTTTTGTCTAAAAATTAATGTTTGCATTAATACAAAGTAAAAAGAATATATCTAAATTATTGTGCCGAAAACTTTTATTAATAGCAAAATGCTAATTTCCTTGCGAATTTTTTTCGGCTTTAATTTTTTACTTCGCATTTGTATGTTACACACTGATCTTACAATCGGATTTGATAAAAATCACAGGACCGCCAAATTTTTGCGCCATCACTATTTCACTCTCTAGAATTTGTGGAGCCTATTATTATCGATGATCATATCTATAATATTATGAAGTCGAGTATATCATACTGGAAAGTTGGGTATTTCGGTTATCTATACGTTTTATTTCCTTATGAAATTGGATCAGAAATGGCACAGACGTATGTATTAAGTAGATAGTTGTTTTGATCGGATATTTTTAACTTAAAAATTACTCTTGTATTCATTAGTAGGTTTGACATGAGACCGCAACGTCAGCGACTACTACAGAGATACAAAGTTGAGGTAGAATAGTCGTGGCGAAAATGTCGCGAAATATGTGATCGCTGATCTTTTCCGGCCCTACCATATGATCGTTTAGGTAACTGATAATTTTTTACTCTTGCGCTAGATTATCAGCGCTAGGGTAAAAAATTATCAGTTACCCAAACGATCATATGGTAGGGCCGGAGAAGATCACATATTTCACGATATTTTCCCCACGACTATTCTATCTGCAAAGTCGCGTTCTGACTTTTAACCTGGTACAATTCAGTACTTATGATCTAGAAAAGAAAGAGGATTTATGTAATCTTAAGGATGTAAAGAATGAGCTTAAGAATAAATTAATTCATTTGCTTTTTATGGAATGTTGCCATACGGTTATGCCGCTCTGAAATAAGTAATGTGTCAAAAAACAACTATGACAATCACGAAACATCCGCGTTTTTACTACTTAATGACCCTGTTGGCGTATATAAATAAGGTTTGAAGATATTAAAATTTTTAAAAGAAATTAGTACACAAAATGATAAAAAATTTGTTACGTACGTCTAATTGTAACATGGATGTAATTATTGTGAACCTGAAGACAATACTAATGTTAAAAGCCGGCTAAGGTAGCCGATGTAATATGATCGGCTGGCTAATGCGGCTTAAGATACATAACTTTAAATACGTAGTATAATTTATGCCGGCGAGATAATGCCAAGCGAAATTAAATAATAGAGGACACAAGGATCCAAAAATTTCCGAAAAGAAATGGGCAACATAAAAGACAAACAAAGGTTGAAAAAAAATTTGAGTAAATCTGATATTTTTTGAAGGTAAAAAAAATCCGATCTTAACCATTAGCCAGCCGTTTAACCGATTTTTTTTATCAGCTTTCTAAGCCAGCCGATAAAATCCTTATGGCTTGTAACACTAGATGATACTAAATTACAAACAACATATTACAATTAGACGTCCCCTAATTAATCTCGCTATACTTGTTTTGATTAACGACGCCTCAAATTATACTTATTTGTGTAGCAAAATTTACCATCTAAAATCAATAGGCTATATTATGTGTGAATTAATATAATTTTGTATTGTCCGTACGTTGGGACCATGTTAAAAATCTATAAAAGGTTCACAAATCACGACTTTACAATAATGAAAGTTCTCAAAAAAATCTATAAACCAAAATGCCGTATGCTGATGGCCTTATTTACTCTCAGGTAAACCCAGAACTTTTGTAAAATAAGTATAGAGCTGGTTGGTATATCTAAACCCCAATGATGAGTATAAAATAAGAGAAATTAATGGTTGGTTTCAAAAGAGGAACTTAAGAAGTAAATTCGTTATAGGACATTGTTGACTGTAGAAGCCAAGAAACGCATACCCCTTAACACCCTACAAAATAGAAAAGACATTATCTGAAGAGAAAACCTCTCATAGGATCTATTCTTGTGGTCTTAAAGTGCTGATCTCTAATAGAAATCCAAAAAAAAAAGAGAAGGAAAATAAAGAGAAAGGACCAATTTTAGAAATCGAGGGAACCAAAGAAACATGCATTTTCGTCGTATCATGGCTTAGAGGGTGTGATAACAAAATACAGTACTGTATCAAAAAAAAAAAAAAAAAAATCAATTTAAAGTTGCAAAATATAAGATATGGTGACATTTATATATTTTTGAGCTTATTATGGTATCGCATATTTTGCAATATTATAATAACTATAAACAACAAATTTTCTTCATTGCCTTTGATAGAAAATTATTCTTAATTGTTTTTTATCACTTTCCCCGGAAAGTTTTACAAGAGTGAAAAGTGGCATTTATATCAGAAACTTGATATAAAGTTTGACATGTATAGTCGACTTTGTAACATTAAATAAAAATAATGGGTATATCGATATAACATGTTTTTGATAATATAGCATCTTTTTTTGCTCAGGGCGATGTAATCTTAATCGTATGTTATTACATGTAGTCTTATCATTTTTAACTTTTGGTTTGCAAATATTAACGTTTGCAAAAATAATGGGCTTTAGAAAGTATATTTTGGTCGTGGTTCAAACTCTCATAACTATATTATTGTGCGCATACAGCCATAAAAACAGAGAATCCGTGGCGGGAGGTTTCCATATATTGGGTTTTTTATGTACTAAATTGGTTTTTTTAAGGGTGTTCTCGAACACTTAAATCAATTGATCTGAAATAATTTTAAAAAATAGTTGGAAGTCGAAAAAACTGATCAAGTGAGTTACCACTTCACGAAAAAAATCTGGAGGTAATCTCATAGAATTAACGATGATTGGCTAAAACTGCTTATTAATAGAATATAAAAAGAGGTTGTTCAAACACTTTGCTTTACCTTCAGCGAAATTTTACGGTTGTAATCGTCAAAAAAAAAAAATTATTACAATATTTATGAAGACATAACGATAATAAGGGCGGTCAAGAACGATCGCAATCATTATTTCGATCAATTTCATCAGTAGGGGTTTCAAAGTTAAATTCAGAGAATCTTATTTTATTTTTCCGATTTGTAATTCAACATAGTAAAAATGCTATTGACAAAATCATATTATTTTCGAAATGTGTCACTTATTTGTTAACTTTGAAACCCTCAAATTGTAATAATCGAGCATCATCTCAATCACTAGCAGATCACATTTTGGGTGTTGCTTGAGAACACCCTAAATCAAAATTTTAAATAAACGAATGATTAATCAAAATCATAAATTATCGTTATGCTCGTGTATTTTATTTAAATTAATCGAATTGAATTCTTAACATAGTAAAGACTAATCAAAATTCTAATATAATACATTGATGTAATGAATTTACCAAAATTTTTGAGGTGATAAAATTTACATAAATATATTAAAACCAATAACCCAAATCTAATGAAACTAGAGAATTAATTTTGTAAAGAATTTTTGCCAACATTTTGTATTCATTAGAGGTAAGTTGATTATAATAAATTTTTAAATCAATTAAAGTAGTATTTTGACAGAGCGCTTCTACTAATACTTTTACTCCTATATAACCTAGTCGATTATTACTAAGATCCAAAGTAGTTAAAGAAATATTTTTGCTAAGAGCTTCTGCTAATAATTGTCCTTCTTTGAATGTAAGTAGATTATTAGAAATATTTAAATTGGTTAAAGTGGTAATTTTGCAAAGAGTGTCCGCTAATATTTTTACCCCACTAAAAGTAAGTTGATTACCACGAAGGTTTAAGGAAGTCAATGCGGTGTTGTTACAAAGAGCATCAGATAGTACTTTTATTCCCTCAAAATTAATTTTATTATATCCAATATCTAGAGAAGTTAAAACAGTATTTTTATGAAGAGCTTCTGCTAACGCTTTTGCTCCTTCAAAACCAAATTGATTACCGTAAAGATTTAAAGAGGTTAAAGTAGTGTTTTTACAAAGAGCTTCTGCCAATGTCTTTCCTCCTTCATTGCCAAGTTGATTGTTACTAAGGTCTAAAGAAGTTAAAGAGGTTTTTTTACAAAGAATATCTGCAATCACTTCTATTTCTCCATAATTAATTTTATTAAATCCAATACTTAGAGAAGTTAAACTGGTATTCGTCAAAAGTGCACCTGCTATCGCATTTATTCCTTCAAAACCGAGTTCATTATGATAAAGACTTAATGAAGTCAAGGTAGTGTTTCTGCAAAGAGCTTTTGCCAATGCATAACCTCCTTTAGGGCCAAGTTCATTCCATTTAAGACTCAAGGAGGTTAGAGTAACATTTTTGCAAAGAGCCTCTGCAAGTGCTTTTCCACCTTCAAAACCAATTCGATTATAATTAAGATCTAAGGAGGTCAATGTAGTGTTTTTAATAAGAGCTTCTGCGAATACTTTTACTCCTTTATAACCAAGTACATTTCCGGAAACATTTAATGAGGACAAAGTTGTATTTTTACAAAGTGCTTCTGCTAATATTTTCGTTTCATTTGAACCAAGACTACAATGATCAAGTTTTAGTGAAGTTAAGTAAGCATTTTTACAAAGAACACTTGCTAGTGCCTTTACTTCTTCAAAACTAAGCCTATGAGAAAGATCCAAAGTGGTAATAGTAGTGTTTTCATCTACAAATATCTTCACTATTTCGTTGCTAATAATTCGTTCATAATTTAAATGTTTAATTTTCTTACTTGTTCGTAATAACATTGTAATTAAAGAATATTCAACTGTTGGAACCACATTCTCGAATTTTGTATATATGTCATAATAATCGTAAAAGTCACTAGGTTCATGCCCCTCACCGCAAAGCCAATTTATAATTCCTCTTTGTAAACTACAACAGTTTATTAATGTAGTATAAGATGTGTATTTAAATAATAATTCTGGTCCATTTGGGAATGGTATATTTAATGGAATCAATGGAGCTTTTTCTTCAGCATTTAATGATAAAAGGTATACTCTTATAAGTCTTCTATCCCTACAATGAGATAATGGTTCGTTCCATAATAATGGAACAATAAATCTACACCATTGACGACTTACAAGAAGGCATGAAAATAAGAACCTATAACAATTTCTAAAGTTACTAAATATTTCAAAAAGGCATTCATTTGGTAAAGCTATCATTTTGAAAAAAAGTTTAAAATCGAAATTATTAACGAATAATGATTTATTATTAAGTAAAAAGTAATAAAAGATAGCAATTTATTGTCTGGAGTTTGTAATACAAAATTAATTAGGTTAGTTTTTATTTCACGTGTTCAATTTCAAGCGTGACATCATAAATGATTGGCTGATGTAAATCAATTCTTATCTGTTATTTGCACACTTTGAAGTACTTTTTGGGAACATGACGTTGGGGTATGCGTAAATCACATTCATGTAAAAAAAATGATTAAGGGTAATCCAAGTGTTGATCTTTTTAAAGCTTCATGTCCATATATTGACAGATTTGAGATAGATTTTTGTTCGATATTACTTATAAATGTAAAAAAAAACTTTTAAAAATCTCATACAAAAATTTGTTATTAAAAACTCATTAAAATTGCGGATGTTCTACAGAATAGGTGG